TATTCTAATTCTACGCTGCATCACATCGGATCCAGATGTTTGAAACGTGTTTACGAGGGAATAATTACGTATTTATATGAGATGTCAAAAGAAAATAAAAAATACGTATTTTTATGATTGCGTCTGAACTATATGATTTGTAATATTTTGTTCTGAGTATAATTAACACTTGAAAGTTTTACAATAAGTTACGTAGAATGATTGATCTCACATAGTCACGTTTTGTTATACTTGGTGCAGTATATCACAGAACTTCTGTGTTGGTTTCTCATAGTTAGTACAGAAAAAAAACTATTAGAAACTCTATATGTAATTTCTTGAAGGTTTGCTTGAAATTCGATGTTCATTTATGAGGTTTCCTTAAACGCATTCTATTGCATACAGTAGGACAATGACTTCAAGATGAATCAGGTCATCTTTAATTCTAATGGTGGATAAATAAATAATGATAACCTTTAATTCTCATTCTACGTAAACAGCATGTGCATATATAGTAACACAACTCTCTGTATATGCTCGCAAAGCTCAAAGGTTAAAACAAGAAAGCCCAAGAAATAATTTTTTCATAATAGATAAAAGTTGTACAAAATAATATAATTAAAACAAAAAAAATTGGTAATATCTCTCGTACTATTATCTATTTACTGATTGATTATACAAAAAGACTAATATATGCATATAACATTTATTGTATGGGCGTATGGCCCTTTCGCCAATATTTATAGCATTTTATTTTTGTAAAGCTTGAGATTCACAATGTTAATGACCAAAACACAAAACATATAAAAAGTTGTAATCAATCAAAACAAAACATTTCTTTAAGAAAAACTTTATATCAGTTTACCAACAATGGGACGTGCCTTGCACATGGTTCGCAACGGCATTGCTTTGGGCAACGTAGCTCCTTTGTCTTCGGTCATATCCACAAGTTCCTCACTGACCCTTTCCCACTCAAAACATTGAACCAAAGTTCCAAGAGCCAAACTCACTAACCGTTGAGCAAGTCCGGCTCCAGGACAAGCTCTTCTTCCCATGCCAAATGGCATTAACTTCTCAGCCTCACCTTCTTTCTCGAATCTCTCTGGCTTAAACATCTCCGGATCTTCCCATAACTTTGGATCTCTATGCATTGCCCATGCGTTGATCAGTACCATCGTTCCACTTGGCACATCATAGCCTCCCACTTTACAATCTTCTGATGCCACATGAGGTAGTAGTAGCGGAACGGCAGGATACAAACGTAATGTTTCCGACACAATATTTTGTAGATAAGGAAGATTCACAATGTCCGGTTCGTCTACTAACCTGTCTAAACCGATTTTATCATCGATTTCGATCCTTGCTTTTTTAAGTATTTCTGGATGGTTCAACAAATTCGACATTGCCCATTCTAGTGTTACCGCTGATGTATCTGTCCCTGCAACTATCAGAGTCTGTGCATATTGGTTATTAATAAACTTCACGTATATATTTTATACATGTATATCTGGTTGCTGAGGAGTACTTACGAGCATGATTCCTTTAATGATGACATCAGTATAATACTCCGGTTGGGTTTCTTGGAGAGAAAGCAAATGATCGAGCATAGTTTGACCTTTTTCTTTCTCTGCACGTTTCTCATCGATCAATCTTTGTAAAAACGCATCGAACCGATTTCCCAAATTCTTGATTCGTTTTTCATAATTTGTGACCCACCGTACAACTGAAAGATAATCAGCTGGGTTTCCAGCACCGGCACTGGTCACCACCTCCGACACAAGCTGCCTCACGAGTTTAGCTTCATCGTTGTTGTCGTCACCATAGTATCTTTTTCCGGCCAACATTCTGATGATGTTGTTGGATGCCAAATTGGCTAATAGTGATTTCATCTCCACCTCCACAAATCCCTGAGAGTACGAATACAGTTAGGAGTTAAAGTTACTAGGGAAGCTAAACTTATCAAAAAAAGTTTGATATATATTGCATTAATGTTTATGTTAAAATAAGGTGTTTTATTTTGGAACTAAAACCAATTATTCTACCAATTTAAGACAATCGAAACCTAAGCCGCATTTATACATAAAAGTTTTTTTTGTTGTTGTTAAAGACAAAATTTATCTATACATATAAATTAGAGTTGAGTTTGATGTTCATTTGTGATTTGGGGCATATGTGTATAGATTAATATGTATATAGTAATGAGACTAAGCTCTTGAATATAATAGCTAGTCTTGGAAAAACTATTGCTTTTGTTCTTAGAAAAGGTAAAATACTCAAATGGACAATTGAGAGAAAAGGAAACTCGTGGAGATAAATAATGTAATATCATTTTTATATAAATAAAAACTAGACTTAAGAACAAAACAAAAAAATTAGTATAATAAAAAAGAGGAGTGTCATACGTGTAAGGACCCTCGAGAGAGACGTAAGATGAGCTGTCGGATCTCGTCTTTACGAATATACAAAAACGTGTTGAGTCTATGAGTCGAGAATATCTCTACGGCGGCGATACGGCGGAGGTTCCTCCAATGATCGCCGTAAGACGCCGCGAGCAAGTGTGTGGCGTTGTAACCGACATGCTTGCTCACGATGAACGTAGGACGGTTCGCGAGAATGACGTCGTTTTCGGTGAAACATTCTTCGGCTATGGAACGTGACGTGATGACGTAAACGAGGCGGTTTCCGAGGTAGAGGTGGAAGATCGGAGCATTTCCGATGGATTGAGAGAGGGAAAGAAACGTTCGGTGGAGCGGTGGCTTGAGGAGGTAGAGGTGGCCGATTAACGGCCAAGAGATCGCTGGAGACGGAGGAAGGTTTAGTTTCCGGTTAGATCTTGTGAGCAAGAAGATTAAGAGAAAAAGAAAAGAGAGGATTAAGATTTGTGTAAAGTCCA